GGAACCATTCGGGCAGGTTCTGCGAGTCGTTGAATGTGTAGCGGTTAAAGTGCTTGTCGATGAGGTCGTGCTTTGACGACTTGCGGTTCGCCAGCTCGCGCACCATCGTCATGGCCTCGGGTGTTGCCAGATCATAGTCAGCCTCGCGCTGCTCGTCCTCCAGCTCGACGTTCTCTGGGTCGCTGTCGAACTCCTCAGCAGACACAACCTCAAAGTCGTCCGAGTCGCTGGCACCAACATCATCGGCGGTCTCTGTGACAGGACGCTTGCGCTTGCTACCAACCTCCTCGTCCGACAGGTCGTCGAGGTTGACGCCGCCCACACCCTTGAACATGGGCTGGTCGAACCAGATGGCAGAGTTCTTGGACAGCTGCGCAGGCGTGGCATTTACAATGTCCTTCTTGCCGCGCGAGCGCTTGGTGATCTTCTTCTCCTTTGCCTCACGCATCATCGACCGGATATCCTCATCCTCATCAGCCGACATCTCCGACTCGGCAGACGCCTCTGATCCAGACTCCTCGTCGCTCGACCCGCTCTTCTCTGCCCCCTCCTCATCCTCATCGTCGCTGAAGCCACGGAACTCCTCCTCGGCAGCACGCTTTTTCTTGATGTCATACTTCGTGTCCATCTCGCGCTTACGGTCGACATACTCCGAGTACAGACCCTCAATCTCGTCCTCGAGCATGGCGATGCGCTCGCTGTCGGAGTCAACATCCTCGGCACGCTCCTCATCTTCAGACACCTCAGAGTCTGAGCCAGCAGGCCGCGAACCGAGCGACACCAGCGTCTCGCCAGCCAGCGCTGCCTCAACATCAATGTCATCGACATGGCCGCTGTGGAGGTCGCGGATCTTGCGCTTGTCGCCAACAGTCGACGACGCTGTGAACATTGCGTCAGCGTCCTGCTCCAGACCAATGTCTGTGGGGGTAGTCATGTTGAGCTGCATCTTGACCAGGTTGCGCTGGCGCTTGGCGTTCTGGCGCTTGCGCTCTTTGCGCAGCTTCTTCATCTCCTCGGTCGCTAGCGCGTCCAGCTCACCCTCAACATCGCTGCCATCGTCGCCTTCCTTCTCCTCGATCTTGGGCTTCTCCTCAGCCTTCTCGAGCTGGAACCGCTCGCGCAGACCCGCACGCCACTTCATCAGGGTGCGGAAGTCCTTCTTGCCAAGCACACGCAGATCCCTACACGCCAGCAGAATATCCTCTGTGGTCTCGGGCAGCTTCACCACCTCCTTGGACTCGTCCGACACAAACTCCATCTCATTGGCACTGCCTAGAATACCCGCTGGATCGCGACTCTTGACAAAATCCATGGCATCAATCTTCTTGTGCAGCGTGTAGTCGCCGTCCTCGTAGCCCTCGCGGTGGCGCTTCTTCTTCTTGAGCTCAGGCGCAAAGATATCGGTCGAGGTCATCGTCTTGTTGATCTCCAGATCCTCAAACACATACTTGGCGTCGAGGAACCGCGGATCGATTTTCTTGGGCGCAATGAAGTCCTGGCACACAACAAAGATTTCGGCCGAAACGTTACGCGACGACGGCGGCTTGGTCGCCTCCACTTTGCGGAACAGCTGGTTGAACACCCAAATCAAACTGTTGTAGTCCTTGGACCGGAACACCTTGGTCACAAATGTTCCACCCTTACGCAGGAACTCTGTCGCCAGCTTCAGCGACATCAGCACCAGCTCTGCCTGCGAGTACGCATCGTGCGACCAGTTGGAGCCGACATTGGGTGCACCGTCGTGCAACACCACATCTGCCTTCCATGTCTTCATCTCCTGCCGCAGCCGGTTGCGGCACTTGTCTGTCAAAATGTCCTCCGCAAATGTAATCACGTTCGGAATCGGTTTGATCGGAACCAGATCCACACCCAGGATAAGGCTCTGCACAGGCATGTACTTTTGCGCTACCTGCAGCCAGCCTCCGGGCGCCGCACACAGATCGATCAGCGCGCGTGCTGAGCCAAGGAAGTTGTACTTTTTGTTCAGCTGGATCAGCTTGAACGCCGAACGGGCGCGGTACCCTTGCTCCTTGGCCAAGTGGTAATACTTATCGAGACGTCCCTTTCCCGACTTCTTCTGGAAACCCATTGTGAAAATATAAAGTGCTAAATTGAACCAGGGGAAAAGGAGCAAAGCTAGAGAAGTCCACAAGCCCGTACCAGCACCTCTGCTGAACGCTGGTAGGAACTTTTTTTTTTTTTCTCGTCTCTAATTCTGTTGATGAAGGTGATTTTATTCCCTATTAATCTCTTAATATGAGCAACATAAAATCAGCATCATCATGTGCCAGTGGCCGGGTACTAGGTTCCGAACACCGCTTGCAACATACTCGGTATTGTCTGGCTCAAGATATGAATAAAATAGCTTGTATATTGCAAAAGGCGCAGCTCTCTCGCAAATGTATGAGCAAGAGTAAAACTAGGTGCTGTAATGGGACATATGGTGCGCTGAGCTACTAATCCGTGGATTTGGTGCAAACGTCGCAGAGGCATCTTTTACCCGGTTAGAAGTCGTCGTTTAGGATGCTGGCAATAGCTGAGGCGCGCATCGCTCAACTCAAGATAAGGGAAAGGAAGGGGTGGATGGTTTGTCACTCGAGGAGTATGGAGGATGGTAAACTGCTTTTTCTTCCGGAGGTGTGTAGTGAACACTATGCTCTTGGTTTCAGCCTGGCAACCCTGCCCACATGCCGACAAGCGGACCTCATTTCCTGAGCCTCCTGCAAAACAAAATGTGCACTCATTCCGTTGCAAAAGAGGAGGGCGAATCCGCCTGGCATTTGCTTCGGTCAACGATGTGGAGGCAGCCATGAGGGAAAGGGCACACACGCTCAGCACCCTTGGTTGTCCTTTGATATGCAAGAAACCAATTTGCACACCACACACATGTTGATCCTGCCCACATTCTGCCTCTTGCTCTAACCCTAGCTGCATGTTCTGCATTTTGGCGTAGAGGCGAGCAGCATTGCTTTTTCTCAGAAATCCAACTCGGAGAAACCCACATTGAGGCTTAGTACCAAGACAACCCACGAGGAGTCCGCATCTGACCACCTAGGATCCGCAATATCTACGAGCAACTCTGGTTACAGATGCGTACCAGATCTTACTGGAATACCGATATATGTGCCAGCATATGCCAGTACTGGTGTTCTCGCTCACAGTACCACGCAAAGGACTCAACGAGGTTCTCCATCACACTCGAGAGCGGCTTTTGCTGGGGGTCAATCCTTATCGACGACTAAGAGCATTTCGACATCCCTTTCTTCCTCCGCACCCATTGTGTCGAAAAGCAGTTTACATGGAGGTTGCAGAATATTTTCAGCAAATGAAATGTCGCCAAATTCAACCATGAGGGCTTGGAAATCTTGCCGTTGCAGATTGTCAGAACACACCGCCGCAAGCATCTGCTGGTCATGCGCTTGCATACGTCAGGCATCCCAGAGGTTGTCAGTTTTTCTTTTTCAACAGACACGCCCCTGGAACAACCAAAGATGATTCACTGTGACAAGAAAAACCTGCTCAAGATTATTGCCATATCTGGGCTCAAATGAAAACCAGCATTACACACGGGCAATGTTGTCAGGTGCCATTTGGGTTTAGAGAAAATAAAAGACAACAGAATGCTTACCCTGGTCACGACTCGATACTCTTGGTACATGCCCACAGTTTGTTTGGTGGGCGTCTGTCCTATCACTATCTTTGCGATTGACATGCGGACGAACAGGTTGCTTCTCTGCATGCTGCATCTCCCGTCCCTCTTCACTTGCTCCTGACCCACTTTTACAGATGGGAGTAAAGAAGGTCGATGTCATGTGCATAATCGGATATGCATACCTGGCGATAAGCGCTGCTGCTGAAGAAGAAATCAAAGAAAGAACCGCTTGCAAAAGACAGAACTAGACCTGCTCTCTCTTGTAGCCACCTGGGGGTTGCAACCCTCTCATCCTGCACTTCCTCATGGGATATGTTCCTTCCCAGCCATTTTCCCTCACTCTGGGTGTTCTTAACACCATGAGATCTACTGTCGATACTGTCAGACCAGACCCAGCTTCTGAGAGTTTATGGATATTAAGAACTCTCCTGAGTAGCATGTGTTTGCCGCCATGCTGTGTAATACTTTGCAGTTCACCAGAACATGGCCAAAAATATTGAAAGTGGGTGTTTTCACACTGTACTCCCAACGTGAAGTGCTGTCAGCTAGCTGGCACCAACAACATCCATTCAAGAAGTAATTGATAGCCTTGTAACAAAAACAGGCATGTCGGAATAGCCGAATGCCGAGTGACACAAAGTAAACTTGCATACAGACATCGCCCTCCTATGTTCCAGAGAGAATGGCCGGGCGAGAGCACTGTACGCACATGATTGTGCGGCAGTTGTTGGTTGGGAATGCTCATGAAAATCCATTTGTCCTACTCTCACTGACCGGCTTTATCGTATTTTGGAGAACAGCAGGTGTTTTTGAATGCAGTGGAAGCCCCTCCTCACGCCCTCCATGAGGTTCATTAGCTGGTGCCAAAGAAGCAAGTGCAAATCCGATACCAAGTGCTATGTGACCAACTTGTGGGGGATGGGATCTACAAACTTGTTTGGAGCAGTGGCTTTGTCCAAGCGAGAGGGCGTGGGTGGCATCTTCGGAAGTAAAAAAACAGGACAAGTTTCCACATACCGGCACATACCATTGTCCCCTTTTCACAAAAGGGTGTCTTCCGGTGTCCCGTGGCAATGGCAATCCAAAGAGGCATACAGGCGCTTTTCCTGAGAGGTTGTACGTCAGCAGGCAGAGGGGCTGATAGGGATGTACAGAAATACACCACATGGGTAACAAGCGCTCCCTCTTTTTGGAGCATGTGAACATGCTATTTTCTCGAGAATCTTACTGATGAGCAAGAGACTATGAGCTAAGGCAAGTGGCAATCGTCTTTATATGAAGGCATACAGCTCCTGAGTAATATAGCAGATATCAGCCTCATTTTGGAGCTGGGTACTGTGCCTTTTGGATAGAGTATGCAACTCTCAACTTCGGTTTCTATTGAAGCGGTAAATGATGCTATCAAAGCCAATCTCTGCGTAGATAAGCCATCAGCGATCTCTGCCTACAGGAGGCACCATGCCTGTCATCTGCTCCCTCCCCTCATGACATCCAGCGCTGCAATTGCCGTGACACAGATGTGCATCCAAATTGAGTTGAGAAGAGACAAGAAAGCTGCTGCTGTTTTTGCACACCTGCCTTGGTGCTGATTTTCCTTGCCATGCAGGTGGCAGAGCAAGAAATAGAAAGGGTATGCAGACCTACTTGTGTGCTGTGGATGGGAAGGTTGGGCACTGGCCAGGCCAGGTGAAATAATGTTACCCGTTTATAACTGTGACGGTATTTAAAAGCAGGGCAAGAGGGTTTTGCAAATTCCCTTACCACCCTCTGCCAACCACTAAAGTTAATTCATTTTCAAGCACAACACACCGGATAACTCTTCCATTCTATCCTTCTTGATTACCGTTCACTATGTACTTCCACGGTATACCCCATGGCGAAGCTACTGAGCTAGTAGCTCCCATGATACACACAGCCTTTAATAAAGCATGCCACAAAACATCCACTGTAGCGGACTTCGACCAGATAATCGCCTTCCACGACGAGTACCCCGAATATTCCCAGTTCGTCCGGTCACTCATGCACAGGGTGCCTCTCATCTTGGAGAGCATTGTTGAGAGTACGTGCGATGACAGCGATAGTAACATGAAACACTATCGTCGCTGGGTCAGCAACTGTGAATTTTTGCGCAAGCACAATCTGCTTTCTCTCGTTTCAGAGGTTCGCATAGTTCAGTTCAACAAGTGCCGCCAAGAACTCAACCTTGGCCAGGCGATTGAGGGCCTCCGTATCCCCCTTGGTGCCATAGTCAATACCAGTCTCCTAATGTTCTTGGGGTTTGGGTTGTTCACCGCTGGCGAAGGGCAAGATTTGGAAGCAGCAAAAGCCGAGGCTATGGATACAGTAGATAGGATTCTCAGCCTCTGCCCGAATGTTACCGGTCTCTGGCATCATGGTCGTCACACTTGGAGCTCGTCGGCTGGGTTTGTTAGGGATATTCCTGGGGTGGGAAGCGAGATTATGCTGGAGCTTCATAGGAGACTGCACTCGCAGCTCACCATAATGCAGGTGATGCGTCCATTTCCGAAAGACCTTGCTGCGCCGTTTTCAGAGAATCTGCAGGTTCTTGCGTTGAACAGTAAGCTGATTCCAGAGCTCGTTAATCTGTCCAAGATCCCAGTCAACAACCTGCGCGAACTCGAGATACGTCACAATCACTGCAATGTTGATTGGACTCCGTTTCGGCTTGGGGCAGACGGGGTACTGAATTTCAAGCGGTTAGATAGACTTGCCTTGGAATTCGACAAACCAGTTAAGGGTGTGGCCTATCGCACTCCACGCCTTGTCAATGTGTCGTTTCCGGTGAGTCTGGCGCAGGTGAAAATTAAAGGGCAAGAGCATTCCTACATGGCTGTCGAGAATTACCTTGGCATAGCCCAGTGCCGTCCTCTGACGCTTGTCACAGAGCCAGATGGACTCGAGAAAATGGGTCTGCCCATCCTGCGGTGTGCTGCTTTGCTGAATGTGAGCGTTCGAGACATGCGCAAAGCCGGCCATACATCTTACCAGTCAAGAGGGTTCTATAGGCTCTTCGAGCATGGCCAGCAATACATGTCAGGGGCACGAGTCACTGGCATGTATCACCCAATGCCGCCCTTGATCAAGTGGTCGTGGCTGCACTGGCTGCATTTGACTCCGGTTGTAGCGAATGCGAATAGCATGTTGAACATCATCAGCATGCTCAAGCACCTGCAAGTTCTCGTCATTGATGCCTATTCCCTTGAACGTGGACATCTGATGGTAATGGAAAGCGGTCATCACTTTAAGGACCAGAGCAAGGCGTTTTCGGATATTGACGATGCTGTCAAGGATCTTCCAAGCCAGGTCAGCGACCAGCTTGTTCGTCTGGACATTCGGTCGCATAAGCCGCTGTGCACTTCTACCGTCGTACAAGTGGTCTCGCGCCTGCCTAACTTGACTAGCCTCGGAGTCGGCCCTGAGCATATCGGTGCTGTGACCCAGGCAATCGGTACGCGTGCATTCGGTAACCCTGAGAGGGGCTATTGTGCGATTGGTGTGCGCGAGTATTCTTCGCACATAGGGGTCTTTGACAGATAGTATATCGTTGCTATCTCTTTCCTTATATTCTACCTCCAACTCCTGTTCAGAACGCCGATAGCGCAAGCGCTCGATATACTCCCAGTAAAGTCAGTAAATAAATCATATAAAAATATATGTGAATGTCATCTAAAACGACTAGTCGCCTACTTTATCAGCAGCATGGTGTGTGTGTAATTTACGAAAATACAATGATATACGAAAATATATTGGCTGGAAAACGTTCAGAGTTTGTGAGCCTGGGGCAAGATGCGAGTGGTCTAGTTGGCCTTATTTATAGATCCACCTTGTGGCTGTGCTGCGACCCGCTTGCCACCAGTACGTCCTTTTCGGGTAGCAGTGCCTGTGTACGCAACAAACGGTGGAAGGTTGAAATGCTAGGACTTTTCTCTGACAGGAGCTGAGGAAGGCTGCTCGGACATCGGGGGTGGTAGAATGAGTGGCGCCTTTGCATGTATAGTGTTCCTATTATTGCAATTCTTGGAAATTGTCAGGCACGCATTAAGGAAGGTGTCATGCCTAAGCCACCAACAAAGCAGTAACGACAATGTCGACTTCTTTGTTCAAGGCGGGATGGATTGTACGCGAAGGAGTATATAAAGCTACTCGGTTGGTAAGTGTGATTGAAATGGACATCTTGGAACGACACTCATTTCAACATTTCCATTTGCATCTTTAATTTAGTCTTTTTGCGTCGACAGCGTTTTCACAATTATGCTCATCATCAATGTTCACTGCCCACAGTTTAGCTTCCACAGGACTCTGTTTGAAATAGAAGATCAAATCTCCCATCAATATGATGAAGATTGGTAGTGCGAGTAGAAAAGCCGTTTTCGTATCCGAATACTCTAAACTGTTCAGAAACTCTATATCTCAAGATTGCAAGACACAAGTCGCCTTTGTAATCCACTTCAATGGTCGCAAATCATAATAAATGAATCGCCAAATTGACTGTCTTACAAGGGTTCATATAGGCCTGCCTTCCCCAAACGAGACAGCTGAACTGACCTTAGGAGTGCATAAGGGGCATCCACAAACAGGACAATTTCAAAATGCATACCTGTGCGAAAGATTCCTCCAACATAACTCTGTTTTCTCAACTCCTTTTGCCACCTCTTCCATTTTGCTGCGAGTCACTCCTAGCAGCGAAATCTGCCTATTGCTCTTCCAGCATCCACTCCTGTTTGCCCCCGGCAGTTTATGCAATCGGCTCGACTCACCCACCGGGTATCGCATACAGTGTACTCAGCTCTTGAAGGCACAGTGTTAACTTGGGGGAATGAGTGGTTATCGAATATATGGAAAAATAGCTTCTCAAAATGACTGAGGGGAAGAAGGAAGGCTGGTCGTCTGTCTGGGCCTTTGTACGTATGCGTTTCGGCCTTGTCTATGGTGGCGCAGGGGGACTCCGGACCCCGAATGTCAACACACAGTAATGGACAAACCTAACCGAAATGATAACTTTGTGTAGTTGCAGGCACACTGTTAATCGAAATCAACATGTGCAACAACTAGGCGGGGAAGAACAAGCTGCTGCGGGAAGTAAGTGCTCAAATCCGCCCACATGTCGACATACACATATGTGCAAAAGTGAGAAATGCTGCTCACATTTACCATACAAACCCTAGCAGGCAAATCGGCATATAGGAAAGACCAATCCGACAAACCAGAAGTGAAAAATGTAGGCGGCACTGCAGTTCAACTGACCAGACAGCGATGATGCGACTGATGATGAAACTAAGCCTAGTCCCTCTAAAATGGTTAGAGATGAACCACATAACACGCCAGATTTAGTGACAAGTAATGGCCAGCCCTATCTTGAGCCCACATGTGGGGTGCAGGAATTTGTCGTGTACCAGTGAACCGGATGCGGAAACCTAGCCAGATTTCTGAGACAGTCCATCATAGCCACCCGAACATTAATGGCTGAGGTAGAGGAGAAGCATGCTGATTTCTATCCCTGAGCTAATTCCCTTGATTGCTCACTTTGAATCAAGTCAAAATATGGCGAAAATCAACCACTTCTGTGGCCAGCTTGGTTTAGAAACAGCTTCATTGAATAACACACTGGGCTCTGTCCGGCTGGCTACAGCGGTGCTTGAAGTCCTTAGGAATCACAGCAGCCTGTGCACCACACTGAAATATTCTATCGATACCGCGGTAATCAAGAGCTGAGCACTCAACATACGCCCTAGCGCCAATCCTCTTTGCCATGCGTCGGCCCTCTGTCTCGGTGACAGGATGCGTTCCGCTTTTGGCCAAATTCTCGACGACGTCCATGTCGTTCCGCAAGTCTAGTTTCAGCCCAGCTAGAATAACTGGCAGCCCGGGTGCATATCGGACAATATCGGGATACCATTTTCTTGAGACGTTCTCGAGGGACATGGGGTTGTCGATTCCAAAACAGACGATTCCGACACTAGCTTTCCGGTAGGCTAGTGGTCTTAGTCGTTCATGATATTCCAGGACACTACCATCACGCAGAACCAGCTTTGTTGCATGGCCATCGAGATCAACAGTGGCCTGCCGAGCATCAAATTCGTACATTGGCATTGCCCTGTGAGTGGGGAAAACTTTATCCAAATAGGCAGCACACAGAGTGGTCTTTCCGCAATTGGTATCGCCAATTATGACAGTAGATGTCTCGGCATCGTTCTCTTTATCGTCGGCCATACTTTAACGGGTACAATCAGGTGCATGTATGTAGTTAGAACATTCCTATTCATTCCTAGTTTGTCAACGTCAATTTATTTCCTAGCTTGTCAAAGACTGCATGATGGGTGCATCATGAACCTGCACAATACTTACTGGCCTAGAGTAGAGCTTTTAGACATGGCCCTGAGAACTATGCTTCGTGGCTTGCAAGCAGTGTGGTTGTTTGAATGCCCAATATGTGTAGACGCCAACCTACACAGCACTACTTATTACAGCTGGTGCAAAATATGGGATCTGTTCATTTGCATTTGCTTCGTTCCCATCATCAAAGAAGTATCCCCACACGGAGTCATATATCCTGGAGATGAATTCCTGCGCTGTGATCCTGGCTCCCTCACTTGCATGATGTTTAGCTTTGCCCTTAAGTTTTGTTGGCCTGCCTGCCTTCTTTTCCTCATAGCTCATGGCACGGCAGTCTGTGTCAGCAGACAAGGGATGCAAAACAGCAACCTCATTAATGGAGGTGTTGTAAATGGGAACAACTATGATAGAAGGGGCAAGAAGGATCGTGGGGAGAGCAAATGCAAAGTGCATGACAAGATAAGGCTGCTAGTATTTTCGAGGCTAAGAATAAGGAATTATTGCTGCAGGTAGTGATCTGAAGGGTGAAAATATTAGCATCCTGTTTTTATATGCAACAGACTATAGTATTAGCTATCTACAAAGTTGTGTCACTATTTGCTTCAATAGTGTCACTTGAACTGGATAGAGTCATATGGCTATAATTGTAAAGGGAATATTTCAGAAGATCTCTGATACACTACTATCCCTCCCCACTGACCCCAGGTTCCCTAGATAACTATACATAGTACTCAAAAGGGATATGCCTTATGTGTGCCTCTGATTATAAACAATTCTCACAATTTATTATTGTACTGTTTTCTAAGTATTGCTATATCTTGGGTAAGATGCACTTAGATAGATAGCCTCCTACAACTGTCTGGAATATATCTACTCTGAAAAAACCTTCACACAATATATATTGAATATATGAAATATGCTATATGAAAGAAGGGAAGAGGAATCACCAGATGAAAAGGGCAGATGCCTATCTAAGTAGTAGTACCAGCTGCCTGGAATAGTATGGCTGGGCATTGTAGCCTAAGGGGGTTATACAGAGATACTTATCTGCCCATTAGCTATTTATGCATACTGGAACTATTGGCAATTTCAGTGAAATAAAAATTTCACCCAAACTGCCATCGGCATCTTAGAAAAGTTTCAGTGAACATAATTTCAACCAGAAAGAAAAACCTTTGCATATTTGGGGTTAATTATCATTGGGCAACAAAAGTCAATATCTCAATAGATATGGCTAAGCAACCACAAGGAAATTATGTTCACTGAAACTTTTCCAAGATGCCGATGGCGGTTTGGGTGAAATGGCAAAAAAAATATTTGTATTTTTAAAATCAATTATACACACAAAAACATTCTGGACACAATAACAAATAATAACTATGAAAAAAATAATTATTAGTAAAAAATAGTTCTGAAAATGATTATTCAAATATCTATCTAACAAAATTGTAATTTACTAAAATTTACAAGTCCAGGAATGACCCCCTAAGGGTCTTGATCTATAGGCTCCTAAAGTCATATGGATTTGGAACTACACTAACAAACTAAGTAATTATAGCTTTTAACTGGTATATTTATGACTTAAGGGAGCTTGTGTTGGAACTTGAAAGTCACTCTATAGATAGTACTGCTAGATTCATCAAGGTATAGTAGAGGTCCTCATCTTTCCTAGTATATGCATCATATAGCATACTATTGCCACATATATATCACTTAAGCAGCTTAGCTATGAAAATCATCAGTTCATCAGTAAGGCTGCTATTTATCAAATTCTTAGGTATTAATATTCTATTCATAGCATTACTTATTCCTTATAGGTGCTCTATAGCCAACTCTTCTGCTTGCCTTTCCTATTCCTCCTGAGTCCTAGATATATCTATAGATATATTTCTCCTAATACTCTTAGATATAGCTGATAGCTGATTGTATCATTTATCTATGCCATATATAGAGGGGCTAGTACACTTGCACTTTGCACCTAAGAGGGTGCATAGTAAACTAGTAGTAGTTATTATAAGTAAAGTCAAAAATACATATGTTTAAAACTAGTTAGGTAAAGTAAGCAAATACTTTAACCCCTCTTTAGTATATTATTAATAGAACAGTTTACTCACTCAGGCTTGATTGTGTGTAAAGTATAATAGCTTTTGATCTAAGAGACAAGTTATTGCTATTTAAGATTATTTAAGCTATAAGAGCCATATTCTGATAGACCAGTGGAGTACTATAACTAATGGTAAATAATGCTAGACTGAGATACAGCAGAGATATTTAGTACTATAAGTTTAAAATGTGGAGAAAGAGGATGTCAAAAGGGTATAAAGTATGGAGTATAAAGTATGAGGTAAGTATGCTTAGAGTGTTAGTCTGTTAGGCTGATCATTATCTCCTAGGTCAAATATGAACCAGAAAAGCCAACAGTGGATCTCTTTGTCTGCTATGTAGACTGGGTAGCTACTGCTGACATTTGGAATTGTTTCTTCATCCTCATTGTTACTAATGCAGCGAGTTGCTTAATCTAATTACATCCAGCACATAGGATTAAGGCTTTTGAAGGGGTTCTGCAGGTCTTATTAGCGTCAATATATATAAGCATTTGCGCAGCTGAGTCAGTGTTACGAACAATAATTGCTTTTTCTCCCGCACTCTTTCTTGCATTTTAATTTCTGTATATTTTTCATACTGACATTCTGGTTTCAGTTTATCCAGCAATTACTCTCTCTTTTCATTACAGCTTTAACTTTTCAGCCATACTAGTAATTTCATGCCTCCTTAACATGGATTTATCGCACTTGGAAAGCATTTTGGGCAAGTTTCTAATTGCCCAAGCAGAATGAGACGAGAAATTGAGGACAGAGCAAGCTGAGCGCGATGAAAGGTTAATGAACATCCTTGTGGCTCTCAATAGAAAGGGGTCAGCCAGCAGTATCAACGTAAGAAGGGGACGGGACTCTGGTCACAGATCACAGGTAGGTCCAAAAATGGCTAAGGTATGGCATCACAGCATCTGGTTTCTCGTTGTTTTGTGCAAGCCCTTGTCATTCACTATGCTAATTTACACCTTTATTTCCTCGAACTAGAACACATCTGGTCAGCAAGGTGGTCAGCTATCTAAGGGCCACAAAGGAGGATCACGAAACACAAGTAGTATCACTGATAGACGTAAGTATGCAATATAATAATCCAGCATCTACTTGATATTCAGCTGCAGGAGTATCCTCTTACCACCCAGAGCGATAGGCCTTACAAGGTGCACATAACTCCATCAATGCTATCTCATATAGGCTCAACCTACGCGAGGGGCGAAATATCCTCGCACAAGCCGGGCAAGACCAAGGACATGTATCAGTATCGGGGCGCAAAATGCAAGAGGGAGTGGCTTGCCATAACTACTCGCAGTAGTATACTGGTGGACTTAAAGACCAGCCTTGCTTATGGTGACCCCTGCCTGACGGCACCGATCTTGTTACCAATATTATTTCCGAATTCGAGAGGCGGTACCGCAGCCACACTCCAAGAGCTGGAATCCCCAATGTGCTCGAGGGTAAGGGGCTGCACAAAGAAGATTCTGTCGAAGCCGGGTTCGCACTCCTCCTCCAGAGCATTGTCGAGGAGCTCGACAAATCAGTCCCCGGTGCGCGTACTTTGGGTTACCTGGTGACATCGAACAAGGAAATCGATGGGAAAGGTAAGCCGGACATTAGCATAGTTCCGACGGGATGGTGCGAAAATGAGCATGTCAGGTGGCATGACATGGCTTCATTCGTCGAACTTAAGGGAGCGCGTATACCAGCTACGGATACGAAAAGTCATGGCCAACTCTCAACTTGCCTTCCCCGCATGTGGGAGAGCTACTGGCGAATCCATTGCGTCGGAATGATGGTGATTGAGGGCAACCTCTGGGCCTTCTCCAACACACGCGGTGGCATCTGCAAAGCAGAGGTTGGTAAGCTGCCGTTCATAAAGTACAGCGACGGTACGGCTAAACGTTCCAAGGGCATCGGACACTATGTGCTCTCCATGGACCAAGCGGGCGAAATCTCCCGGCCCTCCAACGTGGATGCCTGCAAAGATACTGTACGATTCCTCTTGACCATATTTACTCTGCCTATTAGCCACTTTGGATGGCTTTTCCCCTGTGAGAGGAGCTGTGTTCTCCCCTTCACATTCGTGAAGCCGATCGTTGTTGCTCCTATGGAACCTCTGTGGATGATTCAGGCCTAGCGCTATTTCTGATCCCTTCGGCGCTGCAGCTACATCGAGCAGCCTTGAGTCTATAACCATCACGCCTCTCATTGGCAGATCGGAGCTATTGGGGCGCTGCCAATGGCCAGTCGGCACAATCTTGTGGGGTTGCAAAGCCATTTCGAATGCTACTGGTAGCGAGACCCCCTGCTTCCTCAGAGTGCTATGGGCCAAGAGTCGTCTTCTACGCGAGTCGTATATCTATGAGCAGCTGGCTCTAGCCGGCATTCTGCACACGCCAAAGGTACACTGGCATGGGCAATTTGCCCACATAGGTGTTGTCAACGCGAATATCGGATCGATGCGCGGTGAAGCCTATCTCATGGAGGACTGTGGGGATACGATCGACGGGTTCGTCGCTAATATTAAGGTGCACTCTGCCGATGAGTGGCGCTTGGTCAGCATCGCTGCTGGATATCTCCACACCCTATTTGCTGCATCGGCTGGCGAGCCCTCAACGATCCACCGCGACATCTCATCAGGCAACTTGTTGGTACGCAACGGGAAGCGGTGTGCTGATGATGAGCCATTTGTTATTGACTGGGAGCTTGCGCTCATTCTATGCGATGGCCGCCGTGTAAATGATGTTGGCGTAGTTGCGATCACTGGGACGAGGGTTTACATGGGATGGCGCGTTCTCAGTGGCACGGAATGGAGGTCGCTGGTCGATGATATTGAGTCTATGTTTCTCACACTCTTCCGCGCGATCTACAAGGTATTCCCTAACACCAGCAGGAGCAAATTGGAAATGGATACCATCTGGGGTAACAGCGTTGATGACAAAGAGCTGCTGCACAAACGCGAGGACTGGCTCCAAACCAAGAAGAGTTGCATGGCATATATCTCTGAGAGGTGTCACACAAGTTGGCACAAATTGCTTGGGCTTGTTATGTTGAATGTGTGGGGATTTTAAAAGTTATATTTAATACTGAAGAAAAGAGAGAAAAAGGAATAGACAAGTTGCGCAGGGGAGTTTTCAATACGGCCATCTGTGCAACTTATCAGAGGCTAGATTCTACCTCCATATTGTAGGCTGTAGCGGGGGTCTCGTTGGCGCCTGGCTTGCTGTCACCTGATTCGGCTGACATGTCGACGTCAGGGACAGCTGCAGTGGGCACACAACAGGCTCTTTTATCGTTTGCTACTCAGCGAGCACAAGCCAGGTACTACCCTCAATATTAAGGATAGAGATCTGCCCCTGGAGTCAACTGCAATCCACGACTGGGTGACTGGTCTGGCCGAAATCCTTGGTGATCTGGTTGGGAGTTCAAGGCATTTCCACAGCTTTAAAAGCTACGCGGCATTGTCTGAATATGAGGATCGATGTATCCAGAAGTTTTCTCAGGAAAACGCTGGCCCAGCTAACGCCGGGGGCAACGACAGTGACGATAGGGACAACAGCGACGACGGCGACAGCAACGATTCAAACGATGGTAACGACACGAATGAGCCAGATCCGAAATACCAGAAGGTTTAGCGCTATATATTTGTAACAGTGGTTTTGTGTAAAAGAGGAATCTAATATTGTTGCGCACCTAGCAACAGTACCACCGGCGGTATTGTCACCATGGACACCCACAGTGATGCCAGCATAGGGGTTGATAAGGAGCCCATGTGCCCACCTTTTTCAGGAATGCGCCATTATGCTACGGGCCTGAAAGAGGTGTAGCTCCAGCATCTGGTACCTCTTCTATTATCTTTTTAGTTTCGAATATCTGGTGTCCCTTGTAAATATTTTTGCATGCTATTGCTTTCACAATATCACACATAACCACACAAACTAACAACTGATACAGGTATTTAACGCAAAATCTATTACTGTACGACCAAATTCCTAAATATATTATTATTTTTGGTGTTTTGAATCTAGATATCCTTTCATGCCAGTTTGGATGAAGTGACCCTGGACTATTTGCTTATAGCATTTTGAATTCTGACTGTCTTCTATTCTTCATTTTGCCTAGAGATAATGTTTGTTACCACTCAGGATTACCTGAGTTGCGAGACCCGTACCCCTGGAGAACTGGTGGAGTGCCGTAAATAACGGCAAAGAACCCTAGGCTGAAGCTCAGCAGAGATATTTGGCACTGTAAGTGTAAAATGTAGAGATAGGGGATATCGAAAAGGTATGAAGTATGAGGTATGAAGTATGAGGCGTGTGTGCTTGGAGTGTCAGTCTGTCAGGCCGACCATCATCTCCTGGGCCAAATATGTACCAGAAAAGAAATTCCAGCAGAGGGTCGTGCTGCTTGCGCGGCAGATTGAGCAGCTGCTGTTGACTTATGAAATGAGTTGTCTTAGCTGGGCGGTCATGGTGACATTACCATGGCAAAGTGGAGGAAAGAAGCACAGACTGAGACCGTATTACCTTGATTACGATCACTTGCTGTAGTCCATCACCGATAGGAGCAAATGTCGTCTGGTCTCCGTATGTCTTACAGTATCTCCTTTCTGTTCTCTTTAGCTTATTGCCTTTATACCTAGTCATACTTTTCCTTTGTACAAGAGTGCAGGCTGTTGACATTCGGGCAACCCCATGCCCTTCGCCACCATATGCAGATCCAAATCCCCACCTGTACAAGCATTGTGGGCCGGAATGGCCCATTCTCCCTTTTTCTCCTCAGCAATTTCCAGCTATACTCATTCCATATAGCTCATAACTACTGGACTCTCTGAAGGTTAGCAATGTGGATTTGGAACCACAGGTATATATCGTAGTGGTGTGGTAATCGCTCGCTCTATATTTATAGTCATACTGGATTAACTTCAATATCGAACTGCATTTATATTTTCACTAGTACAGGTCTTGGCGTAGTTGGAAAAATGCTGACCATTCTAGAAGAATGTTTGATAGGGATACTACCCGACCAGTAAGATATACAATTGGCGGCAATGATGGTAATTGTGCCGCTATTCGTACCTCCTTCCGGGCTGGACTATTACGTCTCAAATGTTTCGCCAAGAGTCCTAAAAGAGGAAAAGCATCACAATTTTCCAAAGACTATGTATGGATATATATCGTCGATAAAAATAATGAAAACTAAAGTAAACTGAGGTATTATACGCGAAATTTTAGAAATAAAAAGTGAGAAAATATTAGGCGCCTAAACCGATAAAGAAAAGAAAAAGAAAACTCTTTCAGAGAGAAGCTCAGCGCCATATAGTTGGTGTGTCGCCAAGTCAGGATTCTCCTAATCTAGTGACTTGCCGATTTATGACTATGTAGTCCATCAACTAGTGTCCAACAAAACATACTTGGAATAGGAGGCCATGTTTCCTGTATGGAGGAAACTAAGAACAAAATGTGTGGTAGATCAATGCGACCAAGATGTTGTTGAGGTCCCTGGAAGTGCCAACAACGGCGTTCTTGTGGTGATCAAGACTGTGTGGTGGGTGTTGGATACACTGCTTGAGAGTGGATGAATGCATATCACTCTTATGCGCATCTAACGGTACCATGGTTTAGTCGGTTCGTGCAAAGTGGCTTTCATGCCACACATGCCATTTGCTAGGCAAGGGGCTGAATCGCTAGTGCGAGGATATTAATAGATCCCAATAGTCGACGCCATTCGCCAGGCCAGTTTTTCACCCCTCCCTAATTTGCGCCTTCAAAAGAATGATATGCATGGGTTCTTTCCGACATTCCTTGGTTCATGTTGTTCGAGAACCTGTTGCTGCTAAGTAGACGTTCCCTTGTATGTCGACCGCATATTTGCAAGTGACCGAAATAAGCTGATCGGCATATAAAAATGCGTTGCAGTAGCTAATCTTGGTACGATTTTTGGGTTTGGCGTACAAAGCATGGGTTTTCTTCAGCCACTAATGTGGACTATGCACGTACGAATGGACCAGATGTGCTCTAAGCACACGGCTCCAGGTGCCAAGGGTCTTGGCAGGCTCGCAGGCTCTAGTTCACTAAAAACTCAGGAGCGAAGCCAAAGCCAAAGCCCCGTAAAGCCTAGGTGCGGCTAGGTGTGGTGCCTGCCAGAGAAAGGGAGGGACGGCCGGAGCAGGCGCTGTGTCAAGTTATTCCTAGATGCAGCTTAACTCTTTGCAGATTAGTGCTGCTGCGTCAGCTGCCATTCAGCGCCCAGGACAGAGCATTGCCAAAGATCCTGTCATGTGCTGTATCTGGCACGTATAAATACTGCATCACTCGCCCGCTCCTGAAGTGGGTGGTGCATGGGCCATGGTCAGTTTGTGCAACATGCAGCATGCAGGGTACAGGGGGTGTCGCTAGGTGGCAGAGGGGGTATTAGTAGACGGCTAGGATATATGGGTTTCTGAAAGATGGAGCAGTTGTGGAAGCAAATGGAGCTTACAGAATTCGAGGATACAGCAAAAACAGAAGAGATAGTAAAGGGGGCTATATGAGGGCAGTGAAAAGCAGCAGGACCGCGACAGGAGCTCCAGAGAGTAATAAAGGCGTCGGCACACACCAAAACTACTTGGGCATGCCCAGACGCAACACATACCACTCCAATTCCTTGCTACAGACGCTTTTTCTCGCTCCTCGGACCACACTGGGGAGGGGGCGTTTAGCAGCAGGCGGCCTTGTTCGCATACCCGTTGCTTTGGGCATCGGCAATGTTGACCTTGTCCTGGCCACCGGCGGCAGCGGGCTGTGCACGGTTCTCCGCGGATGTATCGAGCAGGCGCTTTTTGATATCTCTCGCGAGACTGAAGAACGCTTCATCAACGTTGGTGTTTGACTTGGCGCTGGTCTCGAGGAACTTGATGCCGAGCTCGTCAGCCAGCTTCTGGCCCTTCTCCTTGGGCACCGCCCGGCGCTCCTCAATGTCGCACTTGTTGCCGATCAGGATCTTGTTCACGCCCTCGCTCGCGTGCTGCTCAATGTTGCGGTACCAGTTCTCGATGTTGTTGAACGACCGCTCGTCTGTGACGTCGTAGACGAGCAGAATTCCCATCGCTCCGCGGTAGTACGCCGTCGTGATCGTGCGGAAGCGCTCCTGGCCTGCAGTATCCCACTAGAGACATACAAGGAGTTAGCGGTGTGGGACCTGGGGACCTTTCAGCGGTATGTAAAGCGGAGTACTTACAATTTGCAGCTTGATGCGCTTGCCGTCCAGCTCGATAGTGCGGATTTTAAAGTCGATTCCAATTGTTGTGATGAAAGACGGCGTAAACGAGTCGTCCGAGAAACGCAGCAGCACACAGCTCTTTCCGACACCTATTGGGGCGTTCTCTTTGGAAATTCAGCAGAGCGGCCGCGTGTTGTATGCCGAGTGCCCTTCCTCCTTGCGCTCGGTATATGCAGATGAGGCATGGAGCTTCCATCCAGTACTTACCCGAGTCACCGATTAGCAGCAACTTCATCAGGTAGTCGTAACTCGCGTTCTTCTGAGCAGTCGCCATTTCGAATATAGATAGAAAGGGGTGGTGTAAATAAGCGTGCAAGAGTCAAGAAGAGCTATGCGAAAAAAAGCAGCCATCTGGCGTGAGCCACAGGCGAATGTGTTGCTGCCCGCCAAGCAGCCGTTGTTTACGTGTGGTGATTTCGGGATTAGTGATCTACTGCCGCCACCACACGCTAACTTCGGTCCCCGCACAGACTTGCTGTGCAACTACCCCACGTCGTGTGCCGCTGGGGTATGGATGCGTGGGGGTAATGGCGGCCAGGGGATGCCACTATACGACGTAGCGCTGGCTGGCCACAGCATGCTGAGGCCGGCGAGCACTGAACTACTTGCCTGCTCCCTCCTCACCATACTATGTGGTCATGCGGCCACAGCATGATGTTCAAGTGCTGCATTGCCATGGAGGGATCTTCGCATTCAAGCTACATGCTACTCTCCCAATGATTTTGCGCTCCGACCAAGTCGACGAGGGACTCCCGACCAGCCTCATTATTCTGCTCATCGTGTGCGTATTTGTCGGATTCGCCGCAATCCTATGGTGCTTTTTCACGACATGCGTGGGCCGCGAGGCACTGCTACAGCTCAGACACTGGCTGCGCGAGCGGCGGCAAGGGCGGACAAGTGGCGGACAAGGGTGGACGCCCTTGCCGATACACAACCAAGACGATGATCAGCGGTGAGCATGAGGGCTTTTAATTTTTTCACGCTGAATTAGAAATGCTAGAACTACTTCGCTCGCGATGCGAGTTCAATTGCTAGTCAGCATGGGTTGGCACGTCGATAAAAACACCAGGGCGAACCAGCCATTTGAACATGTCGGATGATTGTTAGTGTGATAGTGATCTTGGGCATCCCTGTCTTGATGGCCTGCTCAGCGCGTGCGTGTCAGCGCAGGTTCGCTGCTGCTGGCAGCAGAATCGCCTGCAGCTGTACCACGCCTCTTGCGCAGCCTCTTTGTAGCCGGAGTGGCACCAAAAACATTGGCAGCAATGGCTGTAGAACGACGGAACTGTTCAGGAATACCGCCTGAATCACAGAGTGACTGGAAAATGAGTCTGAAGTTTAGAACTGCTGCGAGGTCGCGGTTCAAGAGCCGAGACAAATAGGCCCGCCTGTATTGTGCCATGGCCCGCTTACATGACTCGCTTGTACAGTGGAGAAGGCCATGGCACCTCACAGTTGGGTTCTTCGCTCTCTGGTAGGGCCGCGGGTTGGGACCATGCCGGAATGTCTGCAGCAACTTTTTGCAGCAGAACGGGCACATCGACGATGTCCGGAATTCGTCGATCAGATAGACTTCAAAGCCATGGTGCTTGAACTTGTCGCGCCATCCCTTGCCACGGATCGGCGCATGGTGTCGGGCCATCGGCGCACTCCAACTGCCCATGATCAGCACTGGATCTGGACCGAACTTGCTCCGGAGTTTCGCGGCAAGCCTGTGGTCTGCACGGGCCTGGTTCATGAATGAATCAAGGCGCAGCTTGCGGTGAAGCAGGTACACCTTGGGACTGGTACTGACACCCGGATAGTCCTTACAGCGCCTCTGGTGCTGCTTGTTTGACTTAGTGGGCTGCTGCTCTGGTTACCTTCGCGCTGTCATCGTGTTGGCATAAAACGGTGCTAGGACACACTGCACAGATGCACGGACAGTAATGTAGGCACGGAATTTTGCTGGGCTAAGGGTCCGGCAGCAGTGCTTGGAAAGCTCTGCCTCTGCTCTGCGGACAGCATCTTTTGGGACTTGATCCTTTGTAGCCTGACGAATCCTGTCATAGTGGCGCAGCTTGAGCTCCTTATTGCGCTGCTGCCGTGTGTAGCGGTAGAGCATTTTTTCACCTTCTTTCCCATTGCTGCTATTTTCGTGCATCATGTATAGCAAATCACCCCGACCTGGATCGATGAATACACAGCGGCCTTTCAGATTCTGCAGCTCTGGCTGTGGGATTTGGTGGATATAGCAACAGTCAGCTGTAGCATTGCCTCCCACAGAACCACCTCCTGCAGCACCAGCCTTAGGTACCTTGTCTTGCAGCAAAATGCATATCGTTACACCATCTGTTGTCGCCATTCCGTGGAATTTTCTATCGCCATGCGCCTTAAATGGCTTTGATGTTAGATCTGCGACCCGGCCTCACACATCCCACACAGATTGTGTGATCCCTTGGACCAGGTCGTGTGCACAGACTGGGGGTGCTGGTGCATATGCATTGCTAAGTGCTGCAACAGTGTCTGCTGCTGCCGCCGATGCAGCAGCAAGTGAATCAGCCGCTACTGCTGCAGTTGCTGCAGTGGCCTCTGTTGCATTTGATGGCATCTTCGCTGCTTTGCGTGCAGCCTTCTTGGCCAATTTTTCGCCCTTTTCTGCTGCTTTCCTTGCCAAGCTGCTCATTCTCGATAAGCTGGCATAGGCGAATGTATGCATGCAGATGCTGAAGTGGATTTGCCTTGGCATCATAGTATCGGCTGTCTTTGGCAAATCTGTACTTGGCATCATAGGCATTAAGGACTGGTGCCAGCTTGTTGTAGATTGCAAGCATCTGTGGGGTGAGCACACTGAGATCAGGGTGCCTAGAGGCAACTGCCTGGCGGAGCTTCTGTGCAGGTGTATAAATATACACTTGACATGCATTATTGAACTCAGCCTTGGACACATTGCCCATTGTACTGTGCAGTGTGCTTTTGCGGCTGCGAATATCAATCAATTTGGCCAGAATCTGCTGTAGGCAAGTGCCATAGTGCAACACAATGTTGTTCTTATATGCTGTCATCAGCTCGGTATCCACGTATGTTGCTACTTGATTCATTTCGTGTATGCCATGTAGCTCGATATCGCCATTATGTAATAGATAATCATAAATATGATATATAACTACATCACCGAAATCTGCACTCGACAGTTCTGACCTGTCCTTCCGGTTGACGAAATCCTCGGCAGATATGACAGTCTTCGCCTTCAGGTTGCGATAAATGAATAAATAAATTGAGCGAAAGAATCCCTTTTTCACAAATATTGCAAGGTTAAAAGCATCATTGTCAGCTAGTTGATGGAGTAATATCCATCGTGCAAGCATGTATGTATGCTCCTTGATGATATTGACGCTGTGTACAAATTGCTCTAGGCGGGGCAACATAGAATCATGGAAGCCAATACCACCAAGTGATGTCTTTATGACAGTAGTGCTGTGGGTAATATTCATTTGAGAAATTCAATAGGCAAGTAAGAAGAGAAATGATGCTGTTCAGTTTTGCTGTATTGCAGATGCATAGCATTAAGAACATTTTATTAAAAAATGATCTGGCTTGCATGGTTCTTAGGGCCCTTAGCACTGATACAGTCTCTTGAATCAGTCTATACAGACTGGGTCCATTGTGGCCCAAATACTACTGCTTACGCATGTTCATAAGACAAATTAATTTATAAAATAAACCCACAAATATTGCATGGCCGCTAGAAGAGCTATATGGCCTTATTCAATAGGTGCTCATAAATAAACATCCTAAGAGTGTTGCGCAGCCGGTGATGACCACCATGATGACACCATGGAAGTTATCAGGCCGACCGACAATGAGAGCAGCTCTTGCGCTGAACCAATGGAGATATCTAGTGGAGACCTGTGACCACTGCAATAACAACTTGTCGCCCTGGTTTCACCGATGAGGTCAGATGCCGCACAAGATCAAAGGGAGTTTACAGAGCAAGTCACTCAGACCCGTGTTGAAGCTTAAGTTTTTTTTTTTAACCAATTCAAAAGGTTCTAGCGAACGGTCAGACACTTTTTAGACTATAAAATCTTATATATAGGTAAGTAAAGATCATGGCCGCTGGGTGAACTACATGGCACCATTCAGTAGGTGTTCATAGAGTAGGTGCACACCTTGGAATTGCTTGTACACAACCCCAGCAGGAAACGCAACTGTAAATGGGATACAATGTTGCAGCTGCATAAATGTGCATGCTACTAAAGCACCACAGTGCTACCGCTGCCGCTAGTATATATCCCGCTTCCGCCAAATGTAGACCAAGAATACTGCTCAAATCAAAAAGACAGCTGCGTGTGCTATCTTCAATATCCTATGAAAACAAGTTCTTTTTAAATAAGAAAAAGGTGCGTGTCGGGCTTGCTAGCGGGCTTGCTCGAGCGCAGCGATTTCCTGGCGCAGTTTGGCGATTTCGACTTCGGCCGTTTTCGACCGGTCCTTGTAGTCGTTGTACTGGCTTGTGACCTGCGCAACAGCCGACTCCAGCCTCTTGCACTCTGCGGCTTCCGACCCAAGACTGAAAATCTGCTGCCCCGATGCCTTGAGCGGGATCTCCGGCCCGCTGGCGCCTTTGGTCAGCATCTCAAAGAACTCCTCTGTCGGCTCGCTAAAAATAAGCTCGTCGTAAAAAAAGTTATTGACCGGCTTCCCCTTCGGCCACGACTGCACCTGCGACTCTGGCGGGTACAGCTTCAGCATGTGGTATAGGGAAATGGGCTTTTCGCCCGATGCCGGCGGGAAGAATATCTTTGTGATGATTTCGAATTCGCCCCAGCCCGTCTCAGTCACCTCGTAGGGCGGGGATTTGAAGACACGGTTGTTGTTCACGAACGTGTCGTGTAGTTTGAATTCGACTTTGTGGATGAAATACGAGATGTCTTGGTTGTTGGGTCCGCGCAGGAATACGGTCCATTTGTGCGTGTGGTCGGTCTTCTTCGTCAGCAGCTCGGTTGCTATGTTGCCATACATAATCGGCTTGCTGATGACAACGCCCTTCATGCGCTTCCCGGCCTTCATTGCTGTCGAGTTGAAAATATGAACAAGGGTTTCAGAGATGCCGATTTCGGGGTTAGGGCGAGATCCGATCGTCTGGCAATGTCGCCAAAGGAAACCCGTTTCGAGTTATGGTTCCATGCTTCAGATTGTGATCCGCCAACCCTTTTGCCGGGTGTTGGGCACGGCTTCCGCATAGTTCGCATTCCAGCTTGGGAATACGGGACACAATGTGAGTGCTGAGGTTTAACCCACCAAAAACCGGGCCAATGCCTTTTTTAATAGCCGGAAAGGCGCTGACAACCTTGGAGTACAATGGCGTGCATGTATGCCAGACCTAGCGCCCCTCGCCGTTCACAGTTCACTGGACGTTGCATCTTGCCAGGTAAAGGCTATTAGCCGATAGGGGTAGCCAATGTCAGCGCACACCCGCACACCTCTCTTCACATATGGGCTTTCAAAAGTCAGCAGTGCTTGACAGCCCTTCATACGAAACCTACGGCCAAGTAATCGCCATCAACGAGCAGGCAGCAGCACGCTCTCTGCACAGCAGCTCGGTCGACGACCCGCTCTGGTGCTAAGCTCCACAACAAAGCGCACGAAGGATAGGTTTTTTGTTGTCTAAAAATAACATCCACTTTTCTCAAAACGTATTGTCAATCAAGTAGTTGCTGGCCTTGTTTACATCGTAGTCGTACATCTCCAGCGCCTGGATGGCCTGGGGCTCGCTGAAACCCATGTTCATCAGAGTCCGCAATTGCTCGACGTGGCCGCCCTGGCCCGACGATGACGCGGCTGCCGGCTGCTCGGGCACATCCGGCGCAAAGTCATACTCGCTGAACGCCGGGAAGGGCTTTGGCGGCAGCGCCGGCGCCTGCGGGTCCTGCTGCGGCCGACGCGGGGGCATTGGCGGCTGGGCAGATATGCGACTAGCGCCGCTGGCTTCGCCGGGCTGGATCGGCTGGGATGTAGTGCTTGGCTGCCACTCGGCGGGCTTGGGTG